TAACGTTTGCCTTAGGTAGAAAGAAAAATAGAAGCTTAATAGCAAAATAAAATATTGTAAAATATATTGATTGATGTGAAATAGCGAAAAAATTGACATGGGCATATTTTTTAAATCCTTTCATCCCAAACAAGGCGATAATGCCACTTAGATGTAAGGGATTACTGGGAGTGAAAGAGAATAACTAAACAGGAAACAATGGATTAACAGCTACTCCTGTTCAAATGACGTGGAAGGAATGTGAACAAATAAAAATAATTGAAATGAAAATTGGTTGACCAGTAAAAAAATATCTGGAGATACTGATGCTGAGAATATAAGCAAATAGGAAAATATAGGGAATTTTAATTTTGATTGTCTAGAGAGGAAAGTAACCAAATTCTAATATTGAAGCAATAATCTCAAAAAGATAATATGGGAAAACTACACAAATATGGAATTGTTAATGATTAATACAGAGCTAAATTTGAGGAACATGATGGCTTAAAAGTCAACAGTAATAGGAAGAAAAGTTTTGCGTTTGCCTTGTAAGCAGTAAAAAGATAGGTACTTCACTGTTAATGTAAATGACAAACATCTATATTCTCACTTGAAATTATTGCATCGCGTAATACACAGAGATTAGTTGGTTTGTTTTGATTTAGATTGGTTTGTTTTACGGCATATCAACTTCAATCGGTTATTTAATGCCGACAACATTTTTAGGATAGATTCGTATGAATAGAATATGTATTCTTTGGTTTAGATTTCTTTGGTTTATTTTGTTTTACGGCATATCCACCTCAATGGTTTATTTAATGTCGACAATATTCTTAGGATAGTTTCGTATGTATAGAATATGTATTCTTTGGTTTAGATTGGTTTGGTTTATTTGTTTTACGGCATATCAACCTCAATGGGTTATTTAATGCCGACAAGATTTTTATTGTTGGTAATATTTTTAGTTTGGTTTGTTTAAACGGCATATCAACCTTAATGGGTTATGTAATACCGACAAGATTTTTATTGCTGGTAATATTTTTAGTTTGCATTGTTTAAACGGCATATCAACCTTAGTGGGTTATGTAATACCGACAAGATTTTTATTGCTGGTAATATTTTTAGTTTGGTTTATTTAAACGGCATATCAACCTTAGTGGGTTATGTAATACCGACAAGATTTTTTATTGCTGGTAATGTTTTTTTTCCAAAAATGTATTACTGGGAATATATTTTTCAAAAAAGTATTGCTGGTAATATTTTTCCTTCAAAAATGTATTGCTGGTAATAATGTTTCCTTCAATAAATTTATTGCTGTATTAAAATCTATTTATACACTTTGATAGTGTATTGACTTCAATTTGGGGGCTAACTATTTGTCCATAGATGGAATCCTAACAGGTGCTACCACCCCGGGTCAGAGAATACTAGCAATTAAGACGTGGTTTCACGCTCCTGAAAACCTCCTGATCAGAGGCCTTGCTGTTGGACGTAGTTTATCGTCTTACTCAGGACGCGGACGTGTCTTATCGTCTTTCCAAGGAAGCAATATTAATGGGAAGAAAGTATATGTAATTGCATTGTAAGCAGTGAAAAGATAGGTGCCTTCAAATTTTATGGCGGTATCATGAAAAATTAAAGATCTTTTTTTTTAGTGTTTTATATCAAGACTAAATATATGCTAAAGATTGCATTCCTGCAAGACAAAGCTTCTTCCTATCATGTAAATATCATCTATCTTTTAAAAAGGTTTCAAAAATTTCATAGTAATTGAATGGCATCTTGTCTCTTAAGATATTAATCCAATAGAAATAGTTTATCATTGAAAGCGATGTATACTACAGTTCAAAACTTTGAGACGACTCTGAGAATTTTTTTTTAAATTGGCCCCAATAGTTGTTTTGTAATTTAAATAATAGACAATTATTTTCCATGGTTATAAAAAGCGAGAGATGACTTTTTATTAGGATATTTTATTATGACAAAAAGAAAAAAAAATTATGATTAAATTTTGCTCTCTTTTAGCCTTTAATTAGTGTAGAACAAAATTTTGGCATTCGTTGCAAATGTTTCTCAAAGTATAAGCTTGGTAATTGGTTCCATTCTTTTTTCACTGAGTCTAAAATATCTTTTTCATTTTTATTTATTTCACTCTTCTGTCATGTTCAACCCCTGCTAATTCTGGTTGCGGCTTCAAATTTTTGAACTGTAGTGTATATGAAAATGGAGAGGAATACTCAACCAGGGAAGAAATCTAGAAAGCAATAAAAACTGTTGTAAGTAATGCAACAGTCGAAACAGTAGAAAAGATAGCAAAATAAATTGTTGAAAAAGAGAAGAAATCAACAGAAATATCTACCAGAGTGACATGCAAACTAATAAAAGAATAATTGATACCGATCCATCGGATATTGTGTATATAACATATATACTTATCTGGCTGATGTCAGTAGAGTTTCATTCCAAAATAAATCCTGATACCCTAAAACGATTTAGTATGTATAGCTGGCTACTCGTATTCGAGGATACCAGTCTACTTGCGCGGCTAGCCAAACCCTATTGCCGACGCTTGCTCAGGCGCATTTTGTGTTTATTCAACACCTATAGAGCCCACCTGTGGTTTATACTGCAACTATGCCGAGCAGACCATAGTAACAGTTTCTGAGAAATAGCGTGTTATCTAGCGAGATCTACAATTTGAACAAGGCCAGCACGCTCAAACCCTCGGCCACGATGACTTGTGACTTCGTGTTAGCACAGCTATCGACAAGCTCAAGAGTTCCGTCTATCCAATTTCATTCACAAGGCTTTGGTCAACCGGTGGAATGGTTTTCCAAATGTGCTGCATGCTGGGATACAGTATATCGTTTATAAAAATATATATATTCTTAAAATCTTATATTTAGGCAACAAAAATTAATCGATTCAAGGTCTGTCAAATTCAATCGATAAAGTCTATTTTTTAATTTTCTTAGTGTATTTTTTCAAGACTCTCAGGTGTTCATCTATCATCTCTTAGTTGTACCTCTTTCATCCGGAGAGTGCACTCAGGGGCGACTCCGTCAAAGGACAGAATCGAAACTGAGAAAAATTATACAGAGAAGTTCCCAGCCCTGGGGGACAGTTGCTCAAAACCGCGTCTTCTCATTGCACCAGACAGAGGGATCAGTGCTGGCACTGTGGCCAGCGCAACCGACGGTTGCGAGGATTGCGGGAAATTTTTGTTCTTAACCCTGGTGTACGCGCTCGGGATCCCCACATTAAACTGACCTTGTGTCGCAACCTAACCTCGTAGGTAGTTGATTAAATACAAATTCCTATAAAGCGGAGCTGAGGCTTTTAATCTCGGAATTCGTGAGAGAATTGAGTTCCAATTTCGCATATATTCATATAGTTTCCATAATATGGGTTAGACTCCTTGAACCATGAAAGCAACGATAATTGCTAGTATAATATATTAATATATATTTTAATCTGACAAATCTGAATGTGAGCTCAACGAAAATCTTTCCCTGCACCTAACTTTTCTAGGGATTTTGAATGAACTATAAATTTAAATCGGACCAGTAGGAGCGAAAAAGATGCTTGGACACACACACACACACACAAACACTCATATACACTTTATATATAAGGTTCAAGATTTATCATTAAAAGCTGTGTATATCTAGAAAGCAAAATTCAAACAAAAAAAACCGTTACAAATAATACAAAAGTCGAAACATTAGAAAAACAAGAACAAGAGGAGACGTTAAAAACTTGTAACGTTCCATCATCACCTAGCAGAGCCTGAATTTACATCAGTAATAAAGAATGGTTTTATATCCCTTCTGACTCTTTTTCTTGAATATCTATTGAGATATCCATCCGTGACCTCAAATAGAGAACTCATATATAAAATACATCGTTAAAGATGGTAGAAGAGTGGTCAGTGCCCGGTAGCACTCCAGAAAGTACATGTCATTCTCTATTTTTATAAGAAACAGATCAAAAGTAAAGAGTATTCCAGTCTTAACCTTTTCAATTTTAGCAATTAATTGGCATATATCTTACATATCATTATACTGTGCCTTTAATTTTTCCTTTTACGTCCGTACAGATTTATTCAATCATTCTCTGCCTTGAGTGGCTCAATCTACTGTACTGGGTTAGAAGTTAGTAAAAACAAAAACAAATTAAATATAAATGACAATCATGAAGAAAGGAAGAACCATACACAATGTAAAAAACTCCGATGGATAAAAAAAGACGAGAACGAGGTCGGGGCAGGGGCAGGGAATTTACAAGGAAGAAGAAGACGAGAAAAGGAAAGACACAGACGAAGAAAAAATTAATAAGAGGATAAAGACAGAGAAAGAAATACAGAAAAAAGAAAAGAAAATTATAACGTCACGCATTGTTGAAGAGAAAGATTAAAAAAGAAAGAGAAACACTGAAAGAAAAGGAAAAAAAACAAATGAATTTGTAAAGTCCTCGCTGATTATTTTAAGTTTGATATGATAGTGTAGAAGAGAAAAAAACCGAATTGGCACTTGACTTCCGGAAGATAAAGGATTAATTACTTCATCGAATAGCTGTATATACCTGGAATATTTGGTAGTAGTTAATACACATACGATAATGTAAAGGGGAATGGACATTCCTTTCTCTTTCTCTGTCTCTTTCTCTCACTCTCTCTCTCTCTCTCTCTCTCTCTCTCTCTTGGTCTCTTTATGACTCTTTCAACTTTGGTGCCAGGAATATGCCACTATCTTCGATGATAAAATTATCAAAAGAAATTAGTTTATTTCTGAGAGCATTAACAGTCATAATTCGGGGAACAAGTGACATATCTACCTGACTTGATAACGAAAACGCACGTACACACACACACACACACACATATATATATATATATATATGTATATATATATATATATATATATATATATATATATATATATGTACAAATTGCATTAAAACGACTGAGAAGGTACGGTGGTCGCGTTCTTTGTTGGCAATCCCTGTTTTTTCAAGTTTCATTAAAAATTTCGTTTTAAATGAAAATTGATAAAAGATAGATTGCTACCTAAATACAAAGTTGAGAGAGAGAGAGAGAGAAAGAGCGAGATAGATATAGCAGACTGACATAGATTGATCGATAAAGATAGATAACTTGATAGATAAATATAACAAGCTGACATAGATAGACAGATATAACTGACATAGATCGATCGATCGATAGATAGATATGACATACTAACGTAGATTGATCGATAAATAGATATAACTGACATAGATAAATAGACATATAGATATATCGACAGAGGTATAACAGACTGATGTAGATAGATAGATAGATAGATAGATAGATAGATAGTTAGATAGATAGATATGATTGACATAGAGAGATAGGTATAACATGACTGAAAGGCATAGATAGATAGATAGATAGATAGATAGATAGATAGATAGATAGATAGATAGATAGATAGATAGATAGATAGAATCACTTTTTGGTAAAAACCTTTGTTCGGCACGTTTAAATCTAGACACGTATCAACCAACCGTATGTAATTACTGATAAACAAGTAGGATGTTATCTGGAATTGTATGTGTACGTGCCGCCCCCCCCCTGCATAAACAGACACAGTGCAAAGCATATCTTATTCATAAAATGAGTATATAATAAGCCCTCTCATTATACGGTTTTCAAAGAAGTTGCAGTTCCTTATTTCCATGAAAGAGTGGGTGGAATTGTGTCGTTGCTAAGTAACAAGTGAAGCGATTGTAAATTTTCGTTCAGCCCGCATCTAATCCGAAGTATACACATATCAGTAGCAGAGAAAAAAGAGCTCCTTATACAAACATTAATGCCGAGAGAAGCAAAGCAAGACTGGCTGAAGTAGTTCGTTAGCAATCTGAATTCAAATAGCCTATTGTCATGACAACTACTCGTGAGATAACAGTCTTGTGATCGGTCTCAACCAATTAGGTTACTTGTTTGAAAAGAAAGAAAGAAAAAAAAACATGTAGCTGGATTACTTCCCCTAAGCTGCTTTCAAATCACTCGATAACTCGTAAGGTGTTACCTAAAGATGTTGCTGCCTTCTCTTCACATCTGCTCGCCAATATATTTTGTGCATGTGTAAGGAGAACGCTTAAGAATCATGTAAACGCTATGAGTTATTAGAATGAACAAATGTGGTCTTGTGTTCTGGTTTGGAGATGGCTTTAGGGTTACGCTCGACGATAAAAGCCTAAATGTAGTTTGTTAATTGATGTTTCTGGGTAAGAAGAAATAATGGAAAATAATTCATTTTAAACCAAACTTCAAAGTCTCGCGTCTGAAATCAATCAAATATTCGCTCGTATTAAAAAATTACAGTTTAGATTATGTCAAAAGTACATTCCGGGCAACTCGACGTGGTGTAATGGTTTCCAAGTTTGTCTCGCTAGATCAATGACAACTGAGTAGTGAGTTCCATCCTCACTGGGTGCTTCACATATTCGACCTTGTGCTACATCTAAGCTACTCTTAGAAAATCATTTCTGCTCTTTGATCTTGGTAAAATTGGTTAGCAAGCCTGTCCCGCTAGATCAATGACATCTGAGTAGTGAGTTCGATCCTCACTGGGTGCTTCACATATTCGACCTTGTGCCTCATCGAAGCTACTCTTAGAAAATCATTTCTGCTCTTTGATCTGGTAAAATTGGTTAACAATCTTGTCTCGCTAGACCAAGTAAGTAATGAGTTCGATTCTCGCTGGGTGCCCCATAATTTCGGCCTTGTGCTACATCTAAGATACTCTTAGAAAATAATTTGTGCCTTTGATCTGGTATAATTGGTTAGCAAGCTTGTCTCGCTAGATCAAGTAAGACTGAGTAGTGAGTTCGATCCTCACTGGGTGCCCCATACTTTCGGCCTTGTGCTACATCTAAGCTATGTTTAGAACGTGGTGTAATGCTTAGCAAACTTGTCTCACTATATCCATTACAACTGAATAGTGAGTTCGATCCTCAAATGTTTCTCCATATTTTTCGGTCTTACCTCGCATCGAAGCTACGCTGAGAAAATAACCAGAAAAGTTTGTTTTTTTCTCTGAATTTCTGGAATGTGGTTTTACTATGTATTCTTTACATTCACATTTGGACTAATATAGTTGTTTTGATTATTAAAACGTTTCGTCGGGACTTCTTCAGCTATGGGTCGAGCGTGGTCATCCTCGGAGAATTTTGAATTGAACTCTTTATTTCAGAAGTAGCCAAATTTGCTTAATGTAAGAGACATATACGATTGAGAGACGAAAGATATTAACAAAATTTACACATAGGTTTTATTTTTGTTACGATATTGAGTCACCCCCACCCACGAGGGTGTCATGTGGCACAAGGCCTTTTTGACGTGGGCATTCCGAGCCCGTGGGCTCGGCAAAAAATATGCCCATTGAACCCGTATAAACGGGTTCAGGGCCGGTTTACCTCCCCGAAGGAGACTCTTCCCTTTGGCGGAGCCTCCTTCGGGTTCCTCCCGTCCGTAGGAAGAGAGTTCAACAGAGCAGCCGGTTCAAAAGTTTTATTTTTGTTACAAACACATTAACATTAAACTGACGTCTTAATCCATTGTGGTCTCAGTTCATGACGATTAAATAATTACAAAGCTTGAAATATTTCTTATTTTTTTTTATATTAACTGTGATGAAATTTCTACGAGCCGCATATTAAAGGTCAAGGCGCCGCATGTTGTTTGCGAGAAATAGGTTCGCCATCCCCTGCTTTGTTTTATCTAGCATCATGATTGCCCCACAAAGCGATAATCTAGAGGATTAAAGCGGTGTTAGTTTGCGTATAAAATAAATAAAAAGAATAATATTAGATAGCACTAACACTAGCCTACACCGTACATTAAATGCAGTCCGAAATTCCTTGAAAGTTACTTGGATCGATAGACACCTGAAGAAGGTCAGAGGATGTAATGGTTGAAACGTTATGATAATAACAAGTACAACATAGTGTTGCTAATAAAAACACACACAAAATCCATAATTGTGGTAGAAATATCAATTAAATGGGTGAAAGTAATGCGAGACTTGGATGAACTAAAAACCAATCATTCGACCAACGATACACGCAACTATGCACTCATTCAGACATGACAACAAATACGAATGACATACTCGGTAAAGGAAAAGTGTTCCAGATCCACCAGAGAACTGACATTTCTGGTCACCTAACCTGAGAGAGGATAGGGAATTAAACCAAAGAAATTTGGGACAAAAAATAAAAGGGGTCAATGAGCATACATCTCCTATCTAAGTTAACTTGGCGTAAAATAAAATAAAAAAGCAACAAAAAACGAAAACAAAACAAGCCTAAACTACCCTACGTTGGGTGGGGTTGTCAATAGGCTCCCAATATCCTGTTGCTTACCCGGCATCAAAATGCCACTCCAAGTCGGCTCCTTCCACTCGACAGATACGCACATGACTTACTGCTGTAGAGAGTCGCCTCCTTTTTGTCCTGATCGTGGTCTTAAGCTGATGCTTAAAAAAAAATAAGATCATTTGGGAAGAGGAAAATTCCTCGTCTCTCTATACTTCCTTCTGCCATGTCATCCATATCACAATCCGCATAATACCTAGCAAGCACATGAACACATCGTGCTCAGCCTTAGTTAAAGACGGTTCCATATTTCTTACAAACAGAACTGGCCTCAAGGACAAATAATTTTCCGCGCAGCACGTGAGCCATGATATCTTTAAAAAAACCTTCATAAGGGGACTACAACCTAACAGTTGAAGAAGGCATATCCCAGGATCAAACTCGACTCACCATAGCGGGCGCTATTAGAATAATTTCCTAAGTCGGCTGAAAATTTTTTTTTTTACCCACCCAGAGGCCCTTTCGTATTATCAGTCAGGTAAGTTAGGCCTCATTTTTAGTGATGCATTTCAACCCATGTTCCCAATGCTATATGGTGCGGGCCTCCTGCTTCGTTAAACCGAGGTCACCTATAAGACTATCTTGAACGAAACCCATCACTAACACCTGATATATTGCCTTCCGGGACAACAAATGTACGTCGGAGAGACTATGCGTCCCCAGTATGAAAACTTGAGAACTAACCGGTATTCACGATAGAAAGAGCACTCGCCTTGAGGTAAATGGCCCGCACACTTTACAGAGACAGGAAGTTCTTACTTGCGGAATTCGCCATTCGCATCCGCGGGAAGTTCTTACTTACAGAATTCGCCATCCGCTTCCGAACAAATTCGTTCTAGGAACGCGATGCGAAGCGTATATTGACAAATCTCAATGCTAGGAATCCCTAGACCGCCTTCAGAAGGGTGAAGATAACTGATCTCCCGACATATCATGGAGCCTTGCCTACTCACAAGAAAGAGAACAAGACCCTAAAAAAACAGACTGTCATGCTTTCATGCTTTTCTACCCATAGCTGGGGGTAGGAAGATATGGATTCATACATTTCTCAAGGGTATTTGTGCGTAAGTGAATCTAAAGAACTCAACTGGAATTCGAACTCGGCTCTCTAAGTTCTCACTCCGAGCAACGCACATACGATTCTATTATCGGTAAGTACCTGGTTATGGCTTTCAACAGTAATGAGAACCTATTAAACAATAGAGGGATTAGGGAAGATCGCCCACATCATATGGGACAGGGTACTTGAAAAAAGAAAAACACTACTCACAGAGTATTAATTTAGTGAAAAGGTTTACATCAATATTAGTGAGAAAAAAGAATAGACATTTCCTTAACCCTAAATATTTAGTCGTTTTTTTTGGCGTTAATTAAATTTGTCGACGAGAAAGTGATTTAATAATCATCATTGAAAACTCACAACTGGTGACAATGAGTATTAACGGATGGCTACTTAAATAGCTATACACGGGTATTAGTTGACTGTTATGTTAGATCAGCAGTCTTTACCTTTCATATCAAGATATATCTCAACTTTACTTCCTAATCTGACAATGCTTACTTTCGATACCCAACGACGACTCTTATCTTGAAATATGCACCATTTTCCAGTATTTTTTTTTTTTGCTGTTTCGTTGACATGTCAAATTTTGATGTGTTATTTCATTTTGAATTATGTATGGTGCACCAAATGCCTTCACGTACAAGTGCAACTATTTTTTATCAGACTTGCCAATTTTTTAATACATACTGACGTTTCTGTAACAAATGTTGCTATCAACATATCCAATAATTATATTAGTATTCTTCTGGAGATTCTTAGAGTTTTTCTTTTAATGTTTGGTTTGGAAGGTACAGATCTTTTCTACAATTTCACTTGCATCTGCAGAGTGTTCGGAAACAACTTCTACTTCTATGTGATGTTTAATTTTGCGAAATTTACCTGATGTTTTTTTTTTATTTTAAATTCATCTAGAGCGATCGTTTAACTATTTGACCCTTATGTTATGATGTCTAGTTTTGGAAATTAAAAATTTCTTGTTCAATTTTTCACTTGCTTTCGGATTGTTCCTACTATCAGCAATGTTTGATCTGAAAAGGCCCTTCTTCTTTCTAAATTACTTATTCTAATTTTGTTTGGGAAATTTGCGAATATTTTGATGACTATGTCCTCTTTCGGAGCTTTTTTATTCCTATAAGATATTTGTTTAGAGGTCGAAGC